CCCAGAAAAAGGTGCCGAAGAAGAAAATTGTTGTGGGATCTGATGTTAAAGGTAAATAAATAAAAATGATGATAGTAAAAGGTATGCCAAGCAAAATTGACTAGGATGGTATTTTTCATGATAAAAAAATAATTTTGATATCACATATCAATATATTCTTAATCTTATTAATAATATTGTTTAATAGCTCAATAATAATATTCTTTATTAACTCAGTAGAAATTTTTGGGATGATTACACTGATTGAATTTGATAATTGCCTATAAGTATCTAATAATAGATTTATAAATAAAATTTCAAAATTAATCCACCTTCGATATTAAAATATCTAAATTTTGTAGTTTATCATGTAGTTTATTATTTTGATACAACTGAATTGACTGAGACCTAATTTGGAAAAAGTATGTATGTGTGAATGTGTGTGTGTGCGTGTATGTGAACAGATTTTTTGCCGTAAATCGACGTTTTCTCGAAAACGGCTGGACCGATTTCAAAAATTTAAAAGCCACTCGATGTAACTCGATGAGGACTGTTTGTCGGTTTTGTGCGACGATCGGCCGAGCCGTTTCTTTGTAATTTGGAGAAAAGTGTTAAACCTTTCGTCCACATTTAAGCTCATACTACCGAACCGATTTTAAAAAATCAAAAACGTTCGAAAGATATTAGTTGGGAATGATACTGATTAGTTTTAGGTGAAACTCTATCGAGCCGTTTTCTTGTAATTAACTGTTAAAAAAAATTAGGCCGATTTTTGTGGAACATTTTTTGGCGATATATATCATGGTTTTACAGAACTTACTGAATTATTACGGCCTTACGACAAGCAGTTTAATTGAAAAATTTATCAAAGTTTGAGAAAATGAGTTTTGACTTTTGTAAAAAATAAAATTAGATGATTTAGTTGGTATAACGATAGTGTATTTGGTCTTGAACATAGTAAACCATAAAGATTTATTAAAATTATTGATTTTTCAAAATTTGCTTTTATAATCACTCATAAATTAATTTATTTTTTATTGATTAAGTCGATTATTCACGCATTTCGGAAACTAACTTGCCTCAAGGCAAAATACCAATACCAACTAGTTTTTCTTTATTGGTTTATTTTTTTGGATATAAAAAATTGTATTTAAACCTGATCGTATTAGATTTAAAAAGTGAATATCAATAAGACTCATAATATTTCGAAGTTCCAGTCTATCATAATATTTCAAAATTTAGCTTTTGCTGGAAAAATTATGTTTTATTTAATAGTTCTGTATTAAGTTCATTTACCATTATATACATATAATTTTCATACAATTATAGGTTCAAAATTATTTTTTGTATTTATTTTTTTAGCTCTATTTAAACCTGATTGTATGAGATCCTCTACAAAATGCCATGGATGTCCTCTGTAAAGGTAAATTGGTTCATTCTGAATTATTATTTATTTATTTATTTATTTATTTATTTATTTTACGCCAATCGGCTATATACAGTTAATTATATATAACAGTAATGTAACATAATAATGTTAAACTATGCTATTTTTACAAACACATACAAACACACATACGGGCACCTATACATACACTCGTACATACATACGTCCGCACATGCACTTATATGTAGACTCAAACGCACTAGTAATGTTAACAAATTCTAATAAGTATGATTTCTTTTGACAATGTTGATAAATGTATTATGTGATGAATTGAAAAAGTTTAGTTTTGAGCACTGTTCATTGACCACCATTGTGTTGTACCATCTGGCAACTTTATGCATAAAAGGATCATAATCCTCTTCGAGCACTGGGACTCGGCTAGGATCTAATACCACTTCAACCACAAAGAGAGCTAGGAGATTTGAAACACAGATAAGGTCTCTTGCTTGCCGACCACTGCTGAAGAAACATTAAAATTTACTATTCTTCGTTTTAATTTTATAATAAACTCATTATATCAAATAGAACAAACAAGTTGTATAGAAGTATCGTCGTTTTGATTTTTATTGTAATAAACCATATATTGAAACTGTGTGAGTTCTCATTAGCGAAGTTTATTTTCTCAATTACAACAATTGCTACTCTGTTCATTGGACCGTTCAATATATAGTTTTTCGTCGTTTTTGAAGTCTGCACAATACGGTTTGTTCTTAATCCTTGTCTCGGGCATATCAAATTAATTTTTTTCTAAAATCTCAGGAGAATCAATCGAGCCATTTACTGTCTTATAAAAAAAAATAAGATTATTATATTAATCTTATTTATAGTCATTTTTATAACACTTCTTATATTATAACAACCAATTAATATTCCCAACTTTCCGTAGAGTAAGTTATAGAAATCGCAAAAGATACAAAAATGAAAATTTTTATATATCTTTACGTTTCAGTGGTTTCTGAACATTTTGGCATGGATGTAGGTATGTGGCATGAAAAAATGGATATAGGTATGTGTATGCGTGTGTATGCGTTCGAATATAAATTAGCGTGGACGATTTTGGGAACACGGTACAACCGATTTGAATGATTCAAAAAACATTCAGTTCCTATTGATTAGTTTTTGGACAAGGCAGGTCTAGCCGTTTCGAAGATACGGGGCAAAATTTTTTTTAAAACTGAGTTCAAAAACATTTTACTTGTATTGATTAAATGAATAACTGATTTTTGGAAAGGCAGGTCTAGCGGTTTCGGAAATCGAGTAAAAAAAGTTGAACAAAATGGCATTTAGCGGACAAAAATGATCATTAGACATATGCACATCAAATTATCAGATGTATAAATTTTGTTTACATTTCTATGGGTTTCATAATATTGTTTGTCCGTTAGACGGCTACGCGGCGCTTACGCGCTTCGATTTGAAAAAAGTTCAAAATTTCCAAAATACTTTATAATATAAAAACAACGTTTTATTAAAAAAGGTCCATTTCTTTCAAAAATTTCCAAATTCTCAAAAATATTTTTTTTAAGTTTCCAAAAATATTTTGATCATTTTTAAAAAGTAACAAATTAATTTTTGGTACGGAAAGTTCAAGCAATTTGCCTTAAGCCACCATGCCATACACCACTAGTTATTTTTAATTCATCTTAAAGATTTGTCAAATACATCTTTTAGCACATATTACATTTATCCCTAATATGTTATATACAACTTATATGTTATTTACGAAAAAATAATATATTTTATACAAATATTGACAATTATATCAACATCTTAGGATTGATGTTAATGCCTTTTTGAAAAAGATTAAATTATTGTTATTAAGTATCAATTTTTTAGTTAAAATACTGCCCTTGCAAAAAGAATGTAATCAGAAGGAAATTGACTGTCGAATTAGATAAAGATTTAAAGTTCAGTTTGTGTTTGTACGCCTTTGTGTTGATATACATTAAAATAAGTTTAAAATACTTGGAACAAAATGCACAAGTAAGTTGAAATTATGCATATTTTTTTAAATTGGTAAAAAAAAATTAACACTGATATTTTTCAAATTTTCAATGAACGAAATTTATAATTATGTAATTTATATGTTTCAGAAACAAAAAGTTATGTCTGAATATTACCAAGTTTTCTTAGCATATTCAATTTAAATTTTATACAAAAGTATATGTAAATAGAGGTTTAGAACAAATTATAAAAATGTTTGTTATTGCTAAATAATCTCAATTTTTTGTTTTCGGCTAAATAATATTTGTAGATAAATACTGTAGTTTTTTAATTTAGTATAATATTTTTAAACTGTATTATTAGCTCGAATTCATATTATTGATAAATATTTTTAACCACCGATATTTTCATTTTTGATGAATCTCTGGTATTAATCTGATTGTAAATAAATATTGCTATTTTACACGTTAGGTCATTAAATCAAAAATATATTAAATTTTAATATTATTCTCTATTTTTAACACAAATTAATTTTATCCAACATTTTTGTTTTTGGTTGCTTTTACAATTTGCCAAATGTTACAATTACAGATTTATTTTTCTATTCCAGCAACTATGAAAAAAAATTGTTATTCCAAAATTGGTCGACTTTTTTCATTTATTTTAGTACATATCATTTGTCATTGATTATTAATTTACAAATAATTATTTGTCTCAATCTTTCAACAAATTATTCAAGGTTTGTCAATTTTTCTAAATATTTAGAAAAATCTTGAATTATCATTATTGATTGGATATACATATTTACCTACAATTTACATCTTATTGGTTGCTCAGTAAATTTTATACTTTTTTCAAATGTAATTCAGGAAAAATATAATCAATAATTATTTAGTTAATACTTCCAAAAAATCTCGTGGTGAAAAAAATTGCTCTTGGTTGGATATTTTTACTGTCTAGATCTTATTTTTTGCCCATCAAATGCTTGCATGTAATTGGTATTCAGATAAACTATAATTTCTTGAAAAAAAAATAAAAATATTTTCTATGTGTATTCAATTGCCTTACTACTTATTATATTTTTTTAGATTTATTAGAACTTGCTAATTTTTTAGGCTTTTCTAGTTCCATTCGAAAGTACATAAAAAATTAGAGAATTTTCGAAAATTATTGCTTCATATAACAATATTAATTAGTCCCATATTTGATAAAAATCTAGGTTTTCATTTATGTTTGAAAGAATTTTGGTATTTTAAATCATTTACGTCACCATGTTCTGATTCATAAGCATTGATTTTTATGAATATTTTTAGGAGCTTTCTTGTCGTGCTGATTTTGTTCCAATTGATTGAAAATATTTCTAATTATTATCAAAATTCTGATGAGATGGAGTTTTATGATTACAATGAAGAACCACAAATTATCCAACCACAAAGACAAATGAGTTGTAGTATCACTCCTATGAGTGAAAAAACTTGTCTTTTTGCAACTAAAAGTAGTATTATACGAAATAACCAATATGGGTATATTAGAGCACTTTACTTTGAACATAGTAGCATACAAGAAATTGAGAATGTTATGTTTGATGGATATAATGTCCATTTTGAAGAATTAGGTCTTGCGAATGTTCAATTAGAAAACATAGAAATTGATGCTTTATCCAAACTGAAACGATTGCAATATTTGTATCTGAACGATAATATTATGCAAAAATTATCACCCGGCATTTTCACAGGACTGGATAGTTTACAATATTTAAATTTGTCGCACAATCAAATATCAGAATCATTGGACAAAAGGAATTTTACCGGAATTGGATCAAATCTAAAAACTCTAGATTTGAGTTTTAATCGTATTAGTTTCATTAGAAAAAATTGTTTTGCTGCATTTTCTCAATTAACTGTATTAAATATATCTCATAATCAAATATCGACACTGCCTTCATTTTCTGCCAATATGTTCTTAGATACCATTGTTTTGTCGTACAATAATATTAATAGAATAGACGATGATACTTTTCCAGTAAAAGTTTCGATATCGTCCATTGATTTATCCAACAACAATTTGTCAGTGCCTTCAATTGGTTCTGTTTTAAATAATTTAAAAAAAATATCAAGTTTAAAATTGGGCAATAATTACATAAATGATATAGGGAAAATTTTAACCCATGTTGAAGTCAACCAGTTGTCAATCGAGAATAATCCAATTGATAGCATAGCTGGAGGTTCATTTTGTTCAGAACTAGTTGTAAGTCATCTTAATCTAAAGATTTTGACAAATATTTCCTTGTGTAACACCGGAACAGTTATCAAAGCATCCCATAATAATTTAGAACAAATGCCTGTATGGACGGATATGCAAGAGGTCAAAGTAGTCGAACTGCAGCATAACAAAATTTCAAAAATTCCTCTAGGAATTTTCAAGGATCTCAAATCTTTAAATGTGTTAAGACTGGATAGGAACAAAATTGAATTTTTAGACACTGGTGTGTTTTCTGGATTGCGTGCGCTACAAAGTTTGAACTTATCTTTCAATGCACTATCCCAGATAGATCACCATATATTATTTGGAATGAAAAATTTAGAAGATCTTTATCTTGGAGGCAATAGGTTAACCACTTTACCGCACGATGACATGTTTAATGTACTTCCTAGTTTGAAAAACTTAGGGCTAAACAGAAATCACTGGTATTGTTTGAAATTGATGAGTATTTTAAAATCTATGCATAACCATCACATTGAAATTGTTCATCATGGAGAAGTGGATTACCATGTTGCAAATTTGGGTGGAATACGTTGTTGGCCAGAAAACAGAACCGATATTTTTGAAGTTAACCCTGCAAATAGTCTAAATGAGACAAAAGAATCAGGCGGGGTTGTTGGTTTGTCTACAATCAACCAATTGACTACTTTGCCAACTACAACAAGAAAAGTTACTTCACTACCAACTACACAAATTACGAGCAGACCAACTTCTCCATCAACAACTACAAAATTAGAGACGACAACTGAATCTTTGGCACAAACTTCAACAAATTTACCATTACCTCAAACCACAATAGTGCATCCTTTGACAACTTTAAGCAACTTCAACAAACCATCTGTGACAATTTTTGAGACTGCAATAAACCGAGTGATGCAAGCTGAAAGATTATACCAAGATGAATCCAGCAAAAAGGCTGATGACAAATTTAGAAAATTAGAATCTGGAATTTATGAAATGAAAAATATATTTGTAATTCTTGTAATTCTTGTAGCATGTGTCTTATGTATACAATTTTATAATTTTTATAGCAAAAACATCAGGAAACGTTCTCATGTAATTTCTATGAACACAAGTCAACAGCCTTTAACGACAGAAATTGCAATGTAATTGTTTGTAATTCTATATAGAAATATTTTATATATTTAATAATTGTATATTGCATAATATAAAAATGACTAGATATTTGAATATTAGTATTGGTTTATGTAAAAGTACGGACCTGGGGTATTGTACAAATATTTTTAGCTCATCATTGGTCCGATAAGGATTTGGCACCACCACGTGGTTTAAGTAACTATTTTACCAAAATATTAAAATAAGAAATTTTATATGCACACAAGACAAATGTGTTTTTTATGTAATTTTATAAAATTTTATTTATACATCGAACTAGTTATAGTTTAATATATAATAATAATAATTTAAAGCTGGTGAATATTAATTTCAATTCAGTTTTAGTGTCTGTCTGTGTGTTTTCATAAAATTATTTGGAAGTGGTAATATATTATTTTAATTTCATGACTAATGGGCACCAGTACAGGTATTTCTAATATTATCATAATTAGTTTGTCCAAGGGAAATTAGATTTTAATTAGACATTTAAATACAATTAAATTGATATATTTAATTACATTAATATACAAACTTGGTAGGATCCTAACCTAAAAATATTTTTCATTGTGTATTTATTACTTATATCAGTTTAAGATTTAATGTCATATGAGCATCATTATTTTTATTATTATTATTATATAATTTTAAACACTATTGTGGTTTAATTTTCCATTATTTTGTATTAAATTATTTGTAAACTAAGACAAAATCATAGTTTTATTTTATTTGAAATAAAATATTTTTATTTTTTATACATTGTATAATTGACTTTCTGGCATACATTTTTAAACGAAGTATGAATATATTAATTAAAAATATATAATCTGAGCATCCAGGTTTTAAACAAGTTTCCTAATTTTAATTTTAATTAAAATTGAACAATGTTGGCATAATGTGTTATACTTAAATAATAAATTTGGTAGGATTTTTATTGTATAATATATAAAAATTTATATATTATGCAAGATTAAAAATCAAATTATACAAAGTGCAATAACCGGTAAGTTAAAGTAATGGGCCAAAAATCGAAAATGAAATTTTCTGCATATCTTCATGTTTTAGAGGTTTCTGAACAATTTGGCATACCTCAGAAAAATGGATGTGTGTGTGTGTGTTTTGTGTGTCCGCATTTTTTCTTTCACGTTTTCGAGCGCACGGATCAACCAATTTGAATAGTTCAAAAAACATTCGATTCCTATTGATAGGAAGATGTTCTGATTAGTTTTTAGCAAAGACAGGCCCAGCCGTTACGGAGATACGGAGTGAAGAGTGTAGAAAATAGAAATCGAGTTTTTGAGAGAACGAAGTGTCCGATTTGAATGATCTAAAAAACATTCAATTTGTAATGATTGGGAGAGGACGTGATTGGTTTTTGGCAAAGGCAGGTCCAGCGGTTTTGGAGGTACAGAGCTAAATGTGCAAAAAATGACAGTTTTTGAGAGAACTAAGCGTCCGATTTGAATAATTCAAAGAACATTCTGCTTGTTTTAACAAAATAATTGCTTTTGGAAACAAAAATATTTGTTTAAATTTTTTTTGTATATCGAAAATAATTCATATTTTAATTGTAATTCTGACTAAAGATTTAATATACTTTAAACAAATAATTTCAACTTTGCAATTTAGTTTATTTAATTCTTATAAATATTAGACAATGTTACAGTATTTATTTGTAATAATCTATTTGAATACATTTAATATTCCTCGAACATTTTGTTAAGGTACAGGAAGTTCCAGCAATTTGTCTTAAGACACGATGGTTTGAAATCCAATATATTGAGAGTTAATAATAATTAGTTAATGACAATCATATTAGTAATAAGTTATTTTTGCAATCTCGTTGTAATACTTGGTTGTTATAAATAGTATGTAGTGTTTTTAATATCTAAAATGTGTAGTTCATTATAAAAATTTAAATTTTTTGAAAAAATATATTTTACAAATTATTCAAGTTGAAAACATCAAACGAAAAAAAATAAGTGTTTTAATAATGGATCTGTATCAAAAAATTGTGTTTTGTTAAGACCAACATTGGTCTAATATTTGATATCAAACATGCACCTCGTTCAACAATCATCTTAGATGTATATATAATTATAATTTTATACTTTTCTAAACCCTGAACCATTCTTATTTACAATTTATTCGAGGGAATACCCTGTTTCTTTAGATCTTTTATCTTTAAAATATGAATGTGGACAATTCCGGATATTTATCAGACTCGTTATGAATACAGCTACTGTTTATATGTGTTTTATCTAGTCAAGGATATTATTATGACAAAGTAAATTATCTAATATTCTACTTATGAATTTATTTCACATGCTTGATTATTAAATTTATTGATTTTGAACTTTTCGCAGAATAAGTTATAGTAATCACAAAAAAAAAACGAAAATGAAAAATTTTATATATCTTTACGTTTCTAAGGTTTATGAACATTTTGGCATACCTTAGAAAAAATCAATGTATGTGTTTGTGTGCGGATACAAATCTTTGTCGACGATCTCGGAAACACGGGTCAACCAATTTGAATGATTCAAAAAACATTCGATTTCTATTGATAAGGAGACGTGCTGGTTTTTGGCAAAGGCAAGTCTAGTCTTTTTGAACATACAGGGCAAAAGGAGCCAAAAATAGTTTTTTAGTTTTTGAAAGAACGGAGCGTCCGATTTAAATAATTCTAAATACATTTTATTTGTATAGACCAAATGGCATTTGGCGGTCAAGAATTATTTATCTGTTATACTGCGATGCGCTTGGATATTTAAAATAATGTTAAAAAAATTCAAAAAATTAAAAAGAAAACATGATCGAAATATAAAAAAAAACAAATTTTTAATGAAAGTCCATTTTTTCCATAGAATATTTAAAAATCTCATTTTCCCAATTTTCGAAAAATTTTAATTTTGGCACGGAAAGTTCCAGCAATTTGTCTTAAGGCACGATGCCACGCTCCAGTCAGTTAGTTGAAATTATTTGAAAACTTGGTCATAAAATTTTCAAATATTGTTATAAGCAAAAATATTAATACTATATACCATTATACTATATACTCACGTTTAGTGAGTTTTGACAGAGATAATAGTTATCTCAAATATATTTAACAAGGATCTTTGTTCGAGTTTGTAACCATATATATATGTTATATGTAAGTATGCGAATTCAAATTGCCCATAGCAAAAACAATTTCTCAGTTTCTTTTCAATTGCTAATGTGTGATACTTATAAATAAAATGAATTACAGATGAACAAGTAAGTTATAATTTTTTATATAAAATATTCAAGTTATTTTTGTTTCTTTTTAGTTATTTTTTTGGAACTTCTATTTAATTTTTCCACAAAATTTGCTTTACGTAGTATAATTATAAGCAACATTGGTTTATACAATATAACAAATTCAGAAAGAATTATATATAGTATCAGCGGTATAAAAAACAATATCACCTTGGATTTTTTCACTCAAAATAATTGCTACAATGATGTGGCCTTTAATTTTTATAATCTCGTACTAAATATTAATTGTTTTCTGTAATAATGATATCTGAATTATATTTTTCTTGATAATAATTCGATATACATTATTAGTTAAGTTTATATATTAAGCGAATTAATTTGTTTAATACTATCTAGGCTTCATACTATCGCATAACTAAATCACGTATAATTATAATTATTTTTACGATAATTGTTTTTTCAGACACTCACATATATATATATATATATATATTATATATATATATATATATATATATATAAACAGTCAACTCTACAATAACGCGGTTTCCTATAATAACATGGTTTTATTTCAACCATTTTTAAATGACCCTAGTAACTAGATATGGTTGAAAAAGCTTTAAATATAAATTTTATTATGAACTTGTTAAAACATGCCGTTTATATCATAGTGTAAGACGACATTCATTTAGTAGTTCCAAAGCAAACTTGTTTGAGCCAAAGTTTTCTAAAATAAGTTTTGTTGGAAAACAGTTTTTCAATTATTTTTGGTTATTTTGTTATTAAAAGTAATTTCAGATTTGTCTTGCATTTCAACTATCTGAAGAAGATATTTATGTTTACGTCAATAAATCCGCCAGTTTTATATTTTCTGCGTTTCATGTCATTCTGAATCGATTGAACTAAAATAAGAAAAAAACTAGCTGGTATTGGTATTTTGCCTTCAGGCAAGATACTTGAAATTCCCGATATGTGCAAATAATCGACTTAATCAAAAAAAAAAGTGAGTGGATTTATTACACATAATTGAAAACGAACGATCACGTTAACTCGGAGTATTTTCTAAAAGCAAATTTTCAAAAATCAATAATTTTTATAATTGAACCAGTTTCCGTGAGACAAATTTTAAATTTAACAAACTTTGAAAAAAACTACTCATTCTCTCAAATTTTGATGATTTTTTTAAAATTAAACTACTTGTCGTAAAGCCGTAATATTTCAGTAAGTTCTGTAAGACCATGATATATATCGCCAAAAAAGTTCCTCAAGCCGGCTTAATTTTTTTTCAACAGTTAATTATAAGAAAACGGCTCGGTAGAGATTCATCTGAAATTAATCAATATCATTCCCACCTAATATCTTTTGAACAGTTTTTGAATTTTTAAAATCAATTCGGTAGTATGAGCTTAAATGTGGACGATAATGTTAACCTTTTTTTTCAAATTACAAAGAAATGGCTCGGCAGATCGCCGCACAAAACTGACAGAGGATAGTACTCATTGAGATACATGAACTGGATTCTAAATTTCTGAAATCGGTTCAGGCGTTTTTGAGAAATCGGCGATCACAGGTCTAGTTTTGACAAACGCCAAAAAACGATAATAATTTTTGCAAAGAATTATTAAAACTAAATGACTTGTCATAGGACCGTAATATTTTCGTATGATCTATAAGACTATGGTATCTACCGTGAAAAAAAATCATAAAAATCGTCAAAAAATAATTTTGAACATTCATTACAAGAAAACGGTCTGGCCAATCATCACCATTTACTTATCAGGTCGATTCCAACCAATATTTTCGAATGGGTTTTGAATTTGAAATATTTTTCACTTTTCAGAGATTTATACAGAAACAGCTCGGCCGATCGCTGCACAAACTGAGAAAAGATAATCCATAATACATCGATTGGCTTTTAAATTTTTTAAATCGGTCCAGCCA